CGGCCACGTTTAAAATGTCCACGTGCACCACCTTGGACAACATTTGATTCCGGTGCTGAACCACGATCAAGATGACCAAAATTTGTAGGGGTACAACTGGTAGGCCTCATGTTATGATTTTTCATTAAGAACTCATTATTCTGCTCAGCAATAAGTAATATTGAGATTAACTCAGAATATTTTTTAAAACCCCTTTCTCTGTATTGTTGCTGCAATATCACATTTGACATATGCATAGTGGAAAAAGTTTTTTCCAACATATCATGATCTGTGATATTATGTCCACATAATTTTAATGTGGATGTGACTTTGAAAATAACAGAATTATAGTCACAAACAGACTTAAAATCTTGGAATCTTAAATTGTTCCATTCATATTGAGCTCTTGGCAATAGGACTTTTTGTTGATGTCCATATCTCTCTTGGAGATTAACCCATAATTCCTTCGGATCTTCCACCAATAGATATTCAGATTTTAAACTTTCATGAAGATGGTGGCGAAGGAAAATTATGGCTTTTGCCTTTTGCTGAGATGATGATGTATTATTCTCAGCAATTGTATTTTCGAGGCCATTAGCCTTAAGGTGAGCAAGTGCATCAACCCTCCATTCCAGGTACCTTTGACTGGATAAATCAAGAATGTCAAATTCTCTCTTGGTGATGTTGGCCATTTGAAAACTACAAAACAATAAATTTTAATTTTATTATTATTGTTTTGTTAAAAATTAAGTGAATGGGTGTAGTAAGGTAAGAGCATAATATATTCAAATAATGCAAACATATGAAAAAAAATGTCAGACATGTGAGCTGTGCGCCTCTCCATCCCTTTTCCCCTAACTTATTCTATAAAAAGTTGATTCCCTTTTTTTTTCTTTTTCCTTTTTTTTATTTGAATCAAAATCAAATAAAAGAAGACAAAAAAATGTGTAGTATGTCTTCCGTTTTTTTTAATAAGGAGAAAAAAAAATTCCATACCCACTAATAACTCGTTTGATTCAACTGACATACAATTACACATAATAAAGTTAGCAGGTGAAAAGGAAACCACCCGTATGAATTGAATGAATAGACCACATATTTAAATTTGATTCCTTTTGAGAAGTAATGAATAGAAGAATATAAAACACAACAAGTTAAAAATTGTCTGTTCCTTTTGAATGGATATGAGGCCTCCACACTATTACATATTACGGAGTATTATATTAATATTTCCTCTCACACTCACATGCTTTGTATATCATTCCTTATACCTCTATTCATGATATATCATACCATATTATCATGTTCATTCTTAAACCCAAATTAGAAGATTACAAAGTGAGATTTTCTATTTCTATCAAAGATGTGTATAAGAAAAATTCAAGAGTAGCAGGAAGGTAAGTTCATCATATTTTGATTTTAATGATTTTTTTTCAAGAGTAGTCTTTATTTAAAAATAATAATTTTTTTTTAATCTTAAATAATTCGTATTAAATCAACTCTTTGTTTTTAGTTTATAAAAAAATGATTTTTTTATGAGTAAACTTCTTCCTTTTAATTATCTAATTTTAATTTTATAACTATAAGTTTCTGATGTGAAGGATACCAACTTTGGACAATCACAGAGCATACTTCTCATAATTTTTAAGAAAATATTTTAGTTTGTTCATGAAGAAAATAAAATAAATATACCTTCTGAGAAAAACAAGGATTCTGGGATTTTGAGCAAATTCGTGCTGATAACGTGTTATAAAATGAGAGAAAAACTACTCAAAGATTATAAGAATAGATATAATATATTTCTGATTTCTTCTCTCTATTAACTCTTCACTCTTCTTCTTATTCTTAATGGTGATTACAATGCAGGGTTTAGGCCTCTATTTATAGTGGAGAGCCTTGGTATGGATACAAATACAAGTGGGAAGTACTGTACATAATTGATACTTATCAATGAATGTCTTAATCTACTATTCTAGAAATTAGTCCTGATTAATTGAATAAATGAACAATCATTAATTTCATAACATAAACATTATAAACATATTTTCAATGCATAAATTCATTCAAAGGTTTATCAAACAAAACTAACAGCATTTAGAATAGGGAATTCGTAACACAATTAATGGTACGAATCTAGTGGAAGACAAACACCGGTCTTTTCCCACTGTGATGACTTGACGAGCACAAAGAGTCATCCAGACACCATTTCTCATTCAGCGGTGGAACCCCATTTCACCGATCAAATCATCAGCTCTCATACTTTCCACACTCAGTGATGAAACTGTGCTAGGACTTACGAGCAAGATTGCGTTTAGATCCGAAAAGCCCTAACAAAATTACAAACTTCTTTGCCTGGAAAACATTTGGAGTTTGGGTTTTCGATTTTGTAGAGATTATAGGGGAGTTGGTGGGAAGATGTTATCGAACCATTTTCCGAACGGGATGCAGGCGGCCAAGACGACGTGGTCGCGGCTTCCGACGATGGACGACGACGACGGCGATGGGATAGGCCCCTCCAAGAAGATGCACGACAGCTCTGTGGAGAGTCTCGACTATGAAATCGTTGAGAATTACGCCTATCGGGAACAACAGGAAAGGATTCTTATCCTACTGGCTTAATAGTATTCCTCCATCCTGTCAGTTTTTTTTTGTGGATTAATTTTAGTTTTTTATGGACAGGCAAAGAAGGGGAAACTTTATGTGGGATATTCAGTTGTAGTGAATTGGTTGTTTGCTTTACTTACGGGTATAGGTGAGTGAAGAGCCCTTCAAATTTTGTCAACATTCTAACTTCATTTTTTGTGAGAAATCTAATCTGTCTTGATATGTTAAGTTATAGAATGCACTTAGGCTCTCTTGTTATAGTTGTGCTTTTGGAGGGGGCGGCGAGAAGGTAAGTGATGGCATATTATGTGGTGTTTTAAGAATATAAATATGCACCCCAATCTTACCCAATTTCCTAAGACAGTAGCCCTTCGGCCTTCATAACCTCTTCTCCAATACTCTTCCAGTGCTATCAAAACTAAGTACACACCCACTAGTTATCAAAACAGATTATTCACTATATATATACATATTACTTTTATGCACAAATAAATATTTTTCATAGCAAGCAAATGTTAATTCGTGTCGAAAAGAGATATACATAAATTTATACAAAATTGTTAGTTTTGAATTAAAACTTATTCATGTAAATAATTTTGTAATAATCAATACGGAGTGACATTTATATACAACATGACTAAACAAATGTGATGAGCCTGGATGTAAATATACAAACCTATTTGTATATTTACACTGCAAAGGTTATGTACGTCTTGACCCCTGGAGGCTAGACCCCAAGGAAAGGTTTTTGTTGCATTGCCCATTGGTTACACAGGCTGTGATGTTGTAATTGTAACTCCATTAAAAAGACCAAACAAATCTCATTTGGAGCATCATGTTTTTACACTCTCTTGAATAGGAATTGATTAAAGATAAAAAATACGTAGTAAATGCAACAAAATTTAAAGGGAACAAACCAACTGATGGTGTAAAATACCCTAGTTAAACTCAGACAAAACCATACACACTGAACACAATATTGGAAGGGTTGTAGCCTTGTTGGTGGGAACACCTGTAAACCAGTTGTTATATTTCACTTGGTATTTACTTCCTCCGTCCCACTATATTTGTCCACTTTCATTTTTGCACACCATCCAATACACTTCTTTAATCCATTTTATCTTGTAATTTGTATATTAAAAAATTATAAAAGTTATATATTAATAATCTATATGTTAAGACAAATCAAACAAGATCACGCATGACTATATTTAAGCTTACACATTGAGAGAATTTGATGAGTCAAAGTGCTTAGATGAACAGTTCCAAAAGTCAAAAGTGGACGAATATAGCGGGACGGAGGGAGTATTACAGTTGTGTCTGAGTAGTGTGGTATCTCACTCTAAGTTGCCTCCCTATTTGGAAAGTTTGTACAAGTATTTATAGGGAACAACGGGTATACTATTCAAATTTACTGTAGTTATTCCTACAGTAGCCATCTCTGTGTCAAATTGAACTCCTTGCTGCAGGCTAGGCGGCATAGGCTTATTCGGCTTGTCACATCACCCCCACTTGCACTGTCAAATCCAAGTGGCACCCTATCCGGTGTGTTCCCTACTGGCAGAACCTTGACACTTAGTGTTCCCTCGGCCCACTGATTGATTGGTCACAAAGGAAAGGCCCGTCTCGAAGGTTGTCCGCCCAGTCATCCGGATAATGAGCTATGGACCCGGTCAGGACTTTACCGGACTGGATGATCATTGGTTTATACCCATCACCAACCTACTATGAGTTTGGTGCTCAAGCCATCTTTACTTCTTTAGAACATATATTGGTTTGTGATAATATACAGAAGTAGTTGTTGGGGAATTGGTGGGAGAGGGCGTCTGCAGTTGTGCCTTGTTTGTGACAACTTAAAAAAAATAGAGGAAAAGAATAGAAAGAGATGGACAATGGCGATGTTAGGACTTAAAACTAGAGTTTGCCATTAGGATTAAAACCAATAATTGAAAGCAAACACACCACCTGCTGTTCTCTGGCGACGCAACGACAAAGCACCAACTAATATCTGCCGACGCAAATTGTCGGCGATGGTTCCATCAGCAGATTGGCAACCCCTTGGCTGTGTGAGGCCTTCAAAGAAGAGGTAGAGACAGATGTATCAAATCTTTTATTTTTCAGTTTAAAACCAAATCTTGCAATTTTCTCATTCCTTGGACGACGAGAGAACAAGGGAAGCATGGAACAGATTGCACCGCTTTATCATTGTACTCCATTGCATAGATCTCAAGGAGCTTGAATGCTTTGCCTCAACTAAGTGGACCGAGCTAGATTTTGAGTAAAATCAGTGGCTGAAGGCCAAGAAAAGAATCAAGGAAGTAATTTGGTCTTCCAATGGAACATAAATGGTGAGCAACAAAAAAATGAAGTCTCGGTTGAATGGGTCAGTGAAGAAGTAATTGTTTAGGGGATCAGATTGGTGGTTTAGGGAAGAGGGATTAAGATGTCTTTTTGATGTATTCTATTTGCTAAATTAAGAAAGAGGAAGGATATGAGACAACTTAACAAGGACATGTCGTAGAAAAATATGGGACGGAGGGAGTGAATATTATAATGTGAATATAAATGTAAAATAGTAGTCCTCATATCGTTTTTTGGACGTCCCAAAAAATAGTCCACTTTCCATTTTCAGAAAAGTTTTGTGGCTGACATTATTTCTCTCTCCTTTGCATCAGTTTCAACCAAATAATTTCAATTTTCTTAATCTTCACGCCGAATCAAATGTGGACTATTAATTTGGAATGGAGGAAGTATAATATATTGGCAAATTATTTTGACACTGGCTACCAGTGTCATATTATTATGACACTAGTCAATTTGAACACCCTACAATGCTCCGTTTGACCCCAAAGTGGTCCTTACCCTCTAACACTGCTTAAACCTCTCAGCCTAACCCGCCCTCAATCCCACTTCTCAATTGGGTTCACATGTTGGTCAAAGTTTTGACCAAAATGTCAACCCAATTTGGGGTGTGCGATTGGGGGTAGGGGATGGTCATGGGGCGGGTTGGGGGTTTAGGGGGATGAGGAACAACATCGGGTCGAACATGGCCAATGCCAAAATAACTAGAGATAATATGTTGCTATTAATAAACATTGAATTTAGTCAAGTCACCATAGTTTAATATCCATTCGAAACAAATTAAACCAAGGTCTCAATAATCATCAAGAAAACAATCATCTTAAAGACTCTCATTGGCCAAAATATCACCCAGTAAAGCACTTAATTAGGAAAAAGAACATTAAATATTTGTAAATAAAAACATAACTGTAATTGATTGCAGACTAAGGGGTGTTTCTCTAGTGCTAATTGGCTTATTGTTGATAAGCACTTATAAGTTAAATATTCTTTCGTAGAAATAAAATGACCTATATGAGATATAAGTTATTTGGGAATATTCATAAAAGGAGGGATAGTTTTGTAAATAATCTGGTCAAAACGGAGAAACAAAAAAACTGGCTAAAAATAAGTAGGTAAGACCTACTTATTTTTGTTGACTTGTAAGCGGCTTATAAGTCAGCTTGGCTTATAAGTTAAAAACATCTTATAAGCAGATTTGACTAGCTTATAAGTATAGAAAAACACACACGAATTTAAAAGCACTTGTAATATTAGAAAATCAAAATTAAAGCAACACAAGAATTCTAAGGTGAAGCTCAATCAGAATATCGGAGTCATATTTTGCAAACTAATAATAATAATAATAATAAAAAGAAGATACGTGGTTGGAAATAAATGGAAAGCCGACTGCACTTGTAAACATGCATGCTAAATTTAGCCAAACTATAAAAAACAAGGGCAACACAATATGCGCCCAAAGAAAACCAAATAAAGTTGGACGAAATGTAGTGAGGGGCAGTGCCAATGATATTTAGTGAGTGTCTTCGAACAATATCGAGAGGTAAGGCGATGGGCGGATCTAGATTGTGTTAGGTTTAAGTGAACTTCTTGTTTTGTTTCTTTCTTTAGACTGTTGGAGGTTCAGAGGAGGCGTTTATGTAAAATAAACAAAGAAGAAATGTGGACTTTACCAAACTAAATAAGACAAAAATATGAAGCTTATACAGTTTGGTTTAACTTGGGTGACTTGACAACGCTAGGCGACGTCACCTCTCATTGAGGCGAGTCAAACCATCATGACGAGAGGATTCGGCTGCCAGGATGCCACAGCTAGGGGAAACCTTGATAATAGTGGATGCCAATTATGTTATACTCCTTCCATCCAAAAATTATCTTCTTGTTCAATATTCATAGGGTCAAACTTTATTCACTTTGTTGGCCTATTTTCGTTACCCATTTGATAAAATAATATAGTCATGTCACCACTAGTTTTGTAGATCTTTTGATGTAGTTTTTTAATATGTAATTCTTATTTTTTAATTTCACACCATTTTTCATATAAAATAATTTGAAAATAGTTTTAGTCAAACATCGTAACGCGCAATGGGAAGATAATTTTTGGACGGAGGGAGTAACTTTCAGTAGGACTAATGAAAATAAATTCCAAAACCCCTTCATAGGTTTTTTCTTCTCGCTTGCACAAAACATAACATGAGACCATATGAGGTGAAATACTTGCTATAGTCATGTCCCTTTGCAAGAACATTAACTTCTTACTTTGTTTTTGAACTCATGTGTATGGGGGTGTTTCTCTATGCTAGTGTTTATCGGCTTATTGTTGATAAGTTATTTTTAACTTATAAGCTGCTTATTGAAGTATTTTTTTTGTAAAGTGATATAATTGAAAGTTGAGTCATTCAGGGTATTTATAAATTGCTAGGGATAGTTTTGTAAATGATTTTGTCAAAACGGAGAAACAAAAAAAACTAGCTTAAAAATAAGTAGTCAAGACCTACTTATTTTTTGAGCAACTTATAAGTCAAATTATAAGCACAGAGAAACACCAACTATATCTTTGTTTTTATGTTTTTGATTCATTTTGGAGTGATATATGCTATTTTTGGTTTGCTAGGATAAATCTTCAAAGTTAATTTAACCCTCTTCTTCCTTAATCTTTTGTAATCATATACTCCCTTGTCATAAAAAAATTCCATATATCCTTTTAAGTTTTAGTCATTCCCAAAATAAAGTTCCACTTCCCTTTTAAGAAAAGAATTTTGTGGGTCATATTATTTCTCTCATGTGCATGGCTCTCAACCGCACAATTTCAACTTTTTTAATAACCGTTCCGATTTCAATGTGAAACCCCTTTTTTGGGATGAAGGGAGTATATGATTTGTTTCATGCTCTAGATTTTTCATCTCACGCAACCACTTGTTAACCCTCATATGTATATATATTTTTACTTTTCCAGGAACAGGACTTGCAGCTATTTTCATCAACATATCTGTTGAAAACTTTGCAGGATGGAAATACTCGTTAACTTTTAAAATAATCCAGAAGTCCTACTTTGCTGGATTTCTTGTATATACTTCGATCAATTTGGCTCTAGTGCTCTCTTCGGTATATATTGTTACACATTTTGCTCCAGCAGCAGCAGGATCAGGAATTCCTGAAATCAAGGGTTATTTAAATGGTGGGCTACGGTTGCTTATTTCTCTTTACATCATTAGATGCTCCATTGTTGACCCTGCAGTTTCTTTCATTTTTGGTTCCCCATGTAGGAATTGACACACATGGAATCCTACTCTTCAGAACTTTAATTGGAAAGGTGTGATGGCATAATGCTTTTGTTTAAATATGTACCCCCTCTATCCCGAAATGGATGTCATTGTCCATTGTCCACCATTCATAGGTCAAACTACATCCTTTTTGTTTGCCTATTTTGTCACTGATTTGGAAAAATATTATAGTAATGTCACGTCTCGTTTTGTAGATCTTTAAATGTAGCTTTTAAATAAATAATGCTCTTTTTGAAATTTACACCATTTTTTAACTGAATTGATTTGAAAATAATTTCAATCATGCTTAGTTTACTGCAAACTGACGTCCATTTCAGGACGGAGGGAGTGTTTTTTGGCTTTACGAAAATGCTCCATTTCATATTACTTATGACATCTTTTAGATTTTTGGAAGCATAGGTTCAGTTGGAGGTGGTCTAGCCCTTGGCAAAGAAGGTCCTCTTGTACACACTGGTGCCTGTATTGCCTCATTGCTTGGACAAGTATGTATTCGTAGACAATGCCCGGAAGTGATATTCTATTTTGTGATGAACCTTTTGTCCTTTTCACACGCATTTAAAGATTTGGCTTTATATCCAACCCTTAAGAGTTGAATGAAAGGCGTTATTTCTTGGGAGGTGTTGAAGTGGTTCTGGCCGCAATATTTCCATGAAATGTTTTTTCAATCCAAAGTGAACTTTGCAAACAAATCAGGGTGGATCATTTTTTTTGTAGTAAAGAGAACATGCTAATGGGGTAGAGCTCATTTATTTTTAATACAAATAACACTGTAATTCAGGGTGGATCCGCAAAGTATCATTTGAGTTCAAGGTGGCTACAGTTTTTTAACAGCGAAAGGGATCGCCGTGATCTTGTAAGTAATGGATTTCTTCTTAGGCGATTGTCTTCTTCAGTTTGATAGTGTTGGAAGTATTGTTATATAAGGCTTTTATTTACTCATAATCCAAGGTGTGTTCTATGATTAGGTTCCTGTGTAAATGGTAACTAGATCAATGTATAAAATTGTGAATTATGTAGTTGCTGCAGTTTTACTAGATTGTGTATTGTGTGAGCCTTAGTTTGAGGTTAAAATTTTCATAAAGTAACTACAATTAATATTAGAACTACGTTGAGAAGTTATGATAAAATACTCATCAAAATTCTAGAACATTCATATTCAAATTCTACAAGGTCATAATGTCATCAAATTAGTAAGTTCAAGCATCACACAATAAAATACATAGTATTGTGCCAATCGTCATCAATGTCATTAACACAAAAGAAGTGCATTAAATACAACTAATTGTTTCAGCCCACCCATGTTCACCACATTTATCAAAAAAGGAAAAGAAACAATGATGTATGTAACATTAGAAAAACAATTTCAAAGAAGACATTAACAAGTCTTTCATGCACCTTAAGACTTTATTGAAAAACAATTTCAATAATAGTTTTTGTCCCGCAAAGAAGTTTACACTTTGATTTCACTGAGTCTAAAAAAAGTTGAAAGTGAAAAGTGTAAACTCGATTAGGGGATGAAGTGTGGTGATTGAATAATTGAAATCCAGGGGTTGTAAAAAGCTATGGGTTTGATGAACAGTATCAACTGCTGGCTACTTTGATTTGGAGTTTCTCCTGCAATTTTTTCCTTCACAAAACTGATCACATGTCCACACTAGGCCTTCCAGAGTTCTGTCATACCAAAACCTTTAGCAGCCCCATTGCCATGTAACAGCCAATGCCCTGCCACGCACCACTTCAATTCCGCTCACTTCCAACTACAGTTATCACGAGGCGCGGCACGGCGATGCCTAGACGATAATGAGGTGTCCGAGGCGGCCACACATAATAAATCAGGATTCAGGATTACTATACATTAGTAACACTATTTTAAATATAAACATACTTCTTCTCTAAGCCTAATCAAAATTTCAAAAACACGTACTTAAAAATATAAACACACCATAATATGAAAAAAAGAATATGAAATACGGAATATGATTAAAACACAATACGCGACTTCCTAGTGCAAAGTAATTACTGAGTATGAAAAAGCAAGGCATACAGATTTTTAAAAGGTGATGCCTAGAGGCCTAGGCAAGGCTAGGCGACGCCTTGGTGAGGGTGCGAAATAAGGCAACGACACCATGGTGAGAGGAGCTGACCGCCAGGATGCCTAGGCAATGCCTTGACAACTAAGCTTTTGTTGGGGTATCTATGAATACTGAATAGCAAACCACAACCAAACAAGAACACACACAAAACAGAAATCAAAACGGAGAAAACGGAACACAAGATTTATAGTGGTTCGGTCGGCTGACCTAATCCACTTTGCAACTAGGGTTTTTATTATCCAGGTGCTCACAGAATTACAAGTACAGAGATCCCTATTTATGAAGACTAAACTAGGGTTGAAAACTTAATCCCCAAGTTAGGCCCAAGCCCACATAGAGAATTAGGGCCGGCTAAATTAAAAACCTAATTTACTGCCATATGGGTCGAACCAAGACT